GTGAGCTTGGAGGGAGATTCTCCAGCCTTTGGTTAAATATCTGGAGATTGAAATGATGGCCAACACTCTGACTGCAAACTCATAAAATACAAATCCAGAACCACCCAGCTTAGCTACTCCCAGATTCCTGATCTTCAGAAACTGTGTGATAATAAATACTTTTTGTTTTAAGTTGCTAAATTTGGGTTAACTTGTTATGAAGTAGTAGCTAACTAATACAGATTTTGATGCTTGAGTACAGTGCTCCTGTAACAAAACCCTGAAATGTAGGAGTAGCTCTGGAGTGTTTCAGGGGACGGGAGCTGAAAACGCTGTAAGGATTTTGAGGAAAGCATTAGTGAAAGATTAAAGTGTCTTGAACACACTGTTCGTAGGAGTTTGGAGTTTGAGGAGGTTGCCAATAAGGATTTACAGAGAAGTGAGGAAACTCTTATTGGAAACTAGAGGAGAGGGGATACTTGCTATGTGGTGGGAGAAGATTTAGCAACACTGTCACAGGAAGTAATGTGGAAGGGAGAAAATGTACTTAATGAATTATTCATAGGATTTACCTTCATGTTTAACATTTTATTTGTTTCCCCTTGCCCCATGAATTTCAGACCTTCCTTCTGAGATCATATTCCCTTTACTTAAGTAAAACTTTTAGTAATTCCTCTAAAGCAGGTCTCTTTGTGACAAATATTGTCGGGTTTTGTTCATTTGCAAATGTCTTTAATTTTCCCTCATTACCGAAAGATAATTTTGCTGGATGCATAATTCTGGGTCAATAGTGTTTTTATGACATTTAGATATTATTCCATTAAGTTCTGGTTCTCACGATTATTGTTCAAAGTTCACTCCAATTGTGACTCTTTTGATCTCTTTTTTCCTCTGGTTTCCTGTAGTTTTGATCTTTGTCTTTGGTGTTCTGCAGTTTCACTATTATGCGTCTAGGTATGGATATAATCTTATTTTGCTTAAGATGTATTTTGTTTCTTGCATCTGTGATTCAATTTTTCATCAGTTCTGGAAAATTCAGACATTATATTATTAGGTATTGTCATTATTCTTTTGTCTCTAATGTCTTTTTTCCCCTGAGATCCCAATTAAGATATATGTTAGACCTTCTTGGTCTATATCCTAAGTCTCATAATCTCTTCATATTTTTACTTTCTTTACCCCTTTTTGATGCATCATTCTGCAATTAATCATTTCTTCAACTGTCATTGATTTCAATCTCACAATTATACTTTTTCTTTTAAGAGGCTCCATTTGTTGTTTTTTCAAGTCTGTCTATTCTTTAGTTTCTTTTATACTCATCTTTGTAACTGCAACTATACTTCTTTAGCCATTTTATATGTAGCTATTTGCACTCTGCATCTGACATCATCTACAGTCCTCAGAGGTCTAAATATGCTGACTCTTGATTCTGTGGACTTTCACTCACAGTGGCTTATCATTTCATGTATTTGGAAGGCAGCTTTGCTCACCACTATACCACCAATGCTGTATTTGTTGATATTTATCTGTGAGGTCATTGCTGAGGTAGCTTCCCAGCTCTTCCACACTGTTATATAATCTTTCTAAAACCTTTCTATAAATCTTTTTTTTTTTTTTTGATCATTCTTCTGCTTAGCTTTCTTCAATTATTCCCCTGTTGACTACAGAATGGCTTCTTAGTGTGGTACACAAAGTCTTTCATGATTTGACCTCAAATGATTCATTTAAATTTATTCTCTACCAATTCCACTTGTAGTTTATTCTATAGTAGTTTAACATTAAATCCAACCAACTTTCTTACACTTTTGTTCCTCGGCACAAATTGTTCTTTCTGTCTGAAAGCCTTGCCTATCACTTGTCTATTTGAGAAACTCCTAACAACTCCTATTTCAGAGAGATGCTTCATTCGTCCTCTTAAAAATTTCTTTCTTTCTTTCTTTTTTTTAAATTTTTATTTATTTCTGGGAGAGAGAGAGAGACAGCGTGAACAGGGGAGGGTCAGAGAGAGAGGGAGTCACAGACTGAAACAGGCTCCAGGCTCAGAGCTGTCAGCACAGAGTCCGACGCGGGGCTCGAACCCACGAACCGCGAGATCATGACCCAAGCAAAAGTCGGACGCTTAACCGACTAAGCCACCCAGGCGCCCCCGTCCTCTTAAAAATTTCGATAATCATGGGCACCTGGGTGGCTCAGTGGGTCTATCCCTTGGTTTAGGCTCAGGTCATGATCTCACCGTTTTTAGGTTCGAGCCCTGTGTTGGGCTCTGCGCTGGCAGTACGGAGCCTGCGTGGGACTTTTTCTCTTTCTCTCTCTGCCCCTCCCCCACTTGTACTGTCTCTGTCTCTCTCAAAATGAATAAATAAACTTTAAAAAAACTTTTTAAAAAAGGAACACAAAGAAAAGTAGGAGAAAATATAAGTAAATATTTCACTAGTCTCAGATTAGGGAAAGATTTTCTTTCTTTTTTAAATCTTTTTTTAAGTTTATTTATTTATTTTGAGAGAGAGAGAGAGCATCTGCAAGCAGGGGAGGAACAGAGAGAGAGGGGAAACAGAGAATTCAAAAGTGGACTCCATGCTGACAGCAGTGGGCCAATATGGGTCTTGAACTCACAAACCTGAGAGATCATAACCTGAACCGAAGACGGAAGCTCAGCCAACTGAGCCACCCAGATGCCCCAGACTTTATAGTCTTAATACGTAAAGAACTCTTACAAATCAAGAGATTCTATCACAGAAATCTGCTATTTCCTTCTTGTTCTCAGTGCCAAGACAAAGTTAAGGCTAGTTCTTTTTTAACTTTTACTTTTGCAAAGCTTCATGATTGATCCTTCCACTAGTCACCCCTCTCCAAACCATCCCTCCTTGGTTACTAGAGGTATCTTTCTAAAATACAAGTGTCTTCCTTGAAATCCCAAATGGCTAACTATTATCTAAATAAGAGAAGAAACAAAAGAAAAGAAAAGAAAAGATAAGAAAAGAAAGGTCAAACTCCATAGGTTGATATTGAAGACCCTTCTTCTCACCTTTCCAGCCTCTTCTCTGGCCTGCCCTCTTGTGATCCTCATGTGCTAATCTTGCTCCCTGTGCCCCACTTTCCCTCACTGGCACACACACATTGGGCGATCTCTTCTACAGAACTGCCCTCCTCTCTACCTCCAGCATCCCTACCTCATCTGTCCAATCTGAACTCCTTCCCTAATGCTCCGTTCAGAGCCTCACTTGCCTCCCAAGCAGTCAGCCTCTCTTTCCTCTCTCTCCCTCCCCAGTACTTGAAACACACCATTATCAGCACTGGCTGGATTACAGTTTTAATATAAAATTAAAATGTGTTTTAATTTATATATTTAAATTATAATTAGTCATCTGGATGTCTGTTTCTGCCCCCCTACCTTCTTCTTTTAATGAAGGAGCATCTCTATTTGATATCTCTATTCAATCCTAACCCTACAATAGCACATAGTAAGTGCTAAGTGAATATTGTGAGAAAGGAGAATATTTTATTAGATAGAAGGAATTATATAACTTTTGGTAGAAAATGAATTATAGAACTTACTTATTTATTTATTTTTAAAGTTTATTTATTTTGAGAGAGATAGAGAAAGCGAGAGAGAGCAGAAACAGGGGAGAGGCAGAGAGAGAGGGAGAGAGAACCCCAAGTGGGGCTTGAACCCATGAACCATGAGATCATGGCCTGTGCCTAAATCGGGGGTTGGACGCTGGACTGACTGAGCCACCCAGGTGCCCCCAAGAATGTTTTTAAACTGATAAGAACATATACTACACTTGATCTTAGCCAAAAGGCTGAGAAGCAATCCCAAGAACATTTTTAAAAGGCAGTTTACAAAATATAAAAAACTTTCAAGTACATAGCCAAAAAAATTGCAAACATTTCTAAGCAAAAAAAATTTTTTTTCTAAGTAAAAATTTTCTAAAGCTGGTTGTAATAAATGGAAATTCTTTGCACACTAAAAATGCCCTTAAAAATAGTTTGTTTCTCATTTTGAGTAGAGTAGGGACACTTTCTAAAATTTGTTTTACCTTATTATTTTCTCTAATAAAACTTAGGCTTACAAATTAAAGAATTATACATATTCTGAATTGGTAAAAATATTCTGAATAATTAAAGACATTATACCGGGAGTGCAGCTGGCTGACTCAGTCAGGAGGCCACATGACTCTTGATCTCAGGGCTGTTAAGTTCAAACCCCACATGGGTGTAGAGATTACTTAAAAACAAATCCTTTTTTAAAAAGTTCATTTATTTCAAGAGACAGAGAAGGAGAACGAGCACATGGGAGGGGCAGAGAGAGGTAGAGGAAGAATCTCAAGCAGGTTCCACACTGTCAGCACAGAGCCTGACTAGGGGCTTGATCTAATGAATGCGAGATCATGTTCTGAGCCAAACCCAAGAGTTGGATGCTTAACTGACTGAGCTACCCAGGTGCCCCAAAAATAAAGTCTTAAGAAAACAAAATGGTATCTCTACCACTGCTGATTATCACTTAGTAGAAACCTGTGGACTAACAGACTAACATTCTTTTTCAAAAGTGGAGAAATTTGTTCAACTCTATTCCTGCTTTATTCCACTGAACTAACTGTACCTCCCATTTCAGCACCTCATCAGTCTTAGCGCTATTACTCTGAACTCTTTCTATTGAAACAACTCACAGGAAGAACGTTCCAATTCTGTTTGCAGGTGTCGTATTAAGATTGTCTGTCATCTGCTGAGTACTTGAGCTTGGGTCTGGTACTGTGCCCGGTTACAAAAAAGGAATCGTTATTTCTGCCCACAGGAGAATAATAGTCCAGTTGAAGAAGTAACATGAAAACACACATAACATAATCAGAAAATACTTCAAGGCAATACTTAGTGGTAGTGTCAAATTCTGTGGCACACTAGTTTCATGGTACGGAAGCTGTGAGGTGGTCAAGGAAGGCCTGTTAGGGCACTTGATTTGTAGGAAGAATTTGAGCTATTGGAAGTAAGGGGGAAGACACCTGCCTGGGAACACATTGTACCTGAGATTTTCTCCATCTCTTCTAGTAGCTTTTCCAAGTCTTTGTTCAGGTCTGACAGAATTTTCAGCATGTTGTCATAGTTTCTTTCTCCAGGATCAGAATCAGCCATCTAGATAGTGCACAGAAAGAAGATACAGTGAGACAGACTGACGTTTCAATTCCAGCTCTATTACCTATTACCTATGCCTAGATAGCCTAAGCCAAAAACCAGAGGTCATCTTTAATTCTTCTTTATCTTCTTTTCCTGACCAAAGGGGTCACTGAAACTCACCAATTTTATTTGTTCATGAAATAAATATTTAATCATCTATGGGTCAAGAAGGCCTGGTGTCTGGGAGTCGCCAGTGAACTGAACACTGCCTTTGTGGGACTTACAGCCTGGCCCAGCTCTTTAAAGTCTCTATCACAGTCTCTTCCTCTCTCTCTCCAAAGTGGCAGCTTAAATTGAGGTCCATTCTGTTATCCACCATTGGATAGATTCACTGAGCATCTACTATGTGTCAGATGTCTCCTATGGATGTGGATACTGCAGTGTATTTGTAGATCCAGACAGAAAAACCCATGCCCTCATAGAGCTTCCATTCCATGGGAAGAGATGAATACTAAACAACAGAACGGTAAGCATACCTTCAGTTTGTGGTCACTGCACAAAGAAAACAGGACAGGGTGGTTTAATAGAGAGGATCTTTCCTCTCTATTAAGGGGTGCTTTTGCTTATAAAGTCAGATACGTCTTTTCTAATGAAGTGACATTTGAATTGACACCTGAATGATAAAAAGGAGTTGGTATATAAAGAGCTAGGGGGAGAGTTCTAGAAAGAGGGAATGGCTCAAGAAAAGGTGGGAGTGGCCCTGATGTTATGCTTTAAGGCATGGAAAGAAAGTATAGAATAGCGTTGAGGAGAAAAGTGGTATGAGATGAGATCAGCTAGGTAGGCAAGAATTTTTTTTTTTATTTGAGAGAGAGAGAGAGCACACATGTGTACACACACGTGAGCAGGGTAGAGAGAGACAGAGACAGAGATACAGAGGGAGAATCCCAAGCATGCTCCATGCTCCTCAGTAAGGAGCTCGAGGCAGGGCTTGATCCCACAATCCAGGGATCATGATCTGAGCTGAAATCAAGAGTCCAACGCTCAACCAACTGAGCCACCCAGGTGCCCCCAGGATTTTGGTTTTGAGTGTGAGGGAAAGCCAACGGAAATTGAGGGCAGGGGATTATGTTTTAAGATAATGACTCCAGGGGCGCTTGGGTGGCTCAGTCAGTTAGTGGTCAACTTCAGCTCAGGTCATGACCTCACGGTTTGTGGGTTTGAGCACTGCATCAGGCTCTCTGCTGTCAGTGTGGAGCCTGCTTCAGATCCTCTATACAGTCCCCCCACCCCTCCGCTGCTCATGTGCTCTCTCTCTCAAAAAAAAAAACAAAACAAAACACACACACACACACACATTAAAAAAAGATAATGACTTCAGCTGCTGTCTGTAAACTGGATTATTGCAGATGGTTGAGAGGAGGCAAGAGTGGGAGAACCAGTTGAGAGAGCATTAGAATGATCTAGAAATGGATGTGGCTTGGACTAGACCAGTGTGGTAGGTAATGATATCAATGGTGAAAAGTGGAAGGGTTCAGGCTATAGTTTGGAAGATGAGCCAAAATAAGTTGGAAGATGATCTGATGTGTCTAGATTTGCATGGGTAAATGGTAGGGAGAGAGATATCAAAATGACTCCTAAGTTTTATGATAACAGTTTGATGCATGGTGGTGTTTTTTTTTTTTAAATGTTTGTTTATTTTTGAGAGAGACACACACACAGTGTGAGCAGGGGAGGGGCAGAGAGAGAGGGAGACACAGAATCTGAAGCAGGCTCCAGGCTCTGAGCTGTCAGCACAGAGCCCAACGAGGGGCTCGAACCCATGAGACATAAGATCATGACCTGAGCTGAAGTCAGATGCCCAATCGACTGAGCCACCCAGGTGCCACTGCATGGTGGTGTTATTAACTGAAATGGGAAAGACTAAGAGAGGAACAGATTAGAAGGGAAACCAAATGCTCTATTTTGAATATGTTAATATAAGATGCCTATTAGCCCTCCAAGTGGAGATTCAAACAGGCAGTTGAATATATAGGCCTGGAGCTCAGGAGAAAGGCTGGAGTTGAAAATATAGAGTTTGGAACTAATGGTACAGGCTCTCTTCACCTTTCATTTGGACTATTTTCATAAATTCTTGACTGGACTTCCTGCTTTTAGCTTCATCTTGTCAAATCCATTTTCTAGTTCACCTCCAGAATGACCTTACCTAACATGCAAATCTGACCATGTCACTCTCTTTGCAAACTTTCAATAGCTCCCATCTTCTTTCAGGATAAAATATAATCTCTTTACTATAGATATAAGATCCTTTATAATCTAGATCCTGAGTGTACCCATTCTCATCCAGTTCTGAGTTGTGACCAAATAATTGAAGAAAGCCTTAAGAGATCTAGAATTTAGGTGTGCCTGGGTGGTTCACTTGGCTGTGTCCGACTTCAGCTCAGGTCCTGATCTCAAGGTTTGTGAGTATGAGCCCCACATTGGGTTCTGCACTGACAGTGTGGAGCCTGCTTGGGATTCTCTCTCTCTCTCTCTCTCTCTCTGTGTCTCCCCTTCTCTCTGCCCCTCCCCCACTTGCATTCCCTCTCTCTCTCAAAATAATAAACTTAAAAAAGAGAGATCTAGGGGCACCTGGGTGGCTCAGTCGGTTAAGCGTCCGACTTCGGCTCAGATCATGATCTCGCGGCCCCTGGTTCGAGCCCCACATCGGCTCTGCTGACAGCTCAGAGCCTGGAGCCTGTCTTCAGATTTTGTGTCTCCCTCTCTCTCTCTGTCCCTTCCCTGCTCATGCTGTCTCTCTCTGTCTCTCAAAAATAAACATTAAAAAAATTTTTTAAAAAGAGAGATCTAGAATTTAATGAGATATTATTTAAAATCTGTAAGAGTTGTATATTTCCATGAAATGTTATAAAAAATATCCATGAAGGGGCGCCTGGGTGGCTTAGTCGGTTGGGCGTCCGACTTTCGCTTAGGTCATGATCTCACGGTTGGTGGGTTCGAGCCCCGCGTCGGGCTCTGTGCTGACTGCCAGCTCAGAGCCTGGAGCCTATTTCAGAGTCTGTATCTCCCTCTCTCTCTCTGACCCTCCCCTGCTCACGCTGTCTCTCTCTCTCTCTCCTAGAAATAAAATAAATAAATAAATAAAAATATTTTTTAAAAAAATCCATGAAAAAAACACAAAGCTCTGTAAGATTAAAAAATCTACAGTTTTCCTACAAAAGAGCTAAAGAAATAAAAAATATAATAAAATAATTCTATCAGGTAGGGGTTGCAAAAATCTTTGTGAAGGCAAAGAAGTAGATAATGACACAATTCATATCTAAGTTGTGGGGGGTACTTGCTCAATTCATTAATTTATAAGATTGCAGTTATATTCTTTTACCCATATATTTAGCACATATTTATTGAGCACTATTTTAGATTTTGAAGATACAGCAGTGAACAAAACAGGTTAAAATCCTTGGTTTCATGGAATTTATATTCCATGGTGGGAGGAGATAATAAACAAGATTAATAAGTGAAATAAACATAAGAAGGGGATAAGTACCAAGGAAAAAAGTCAGCCAGAGACGGAGTGTGGAAGGGAGTGTATGTAAGGTGGTGACTGCAATTTAAGTAAGTGTACAGGCTTGTTGTGATGAGCACCAGATGATGTACGGAAGGGCTGATTAATATTAACTGTATGTTAACTAACCAGAATTTAAATAAAAACTTAAAAAGAAACAAAACAAAGCAGTAAAGGGGGAAAAAAAAGAAAGAGGGAGGCAAACAAAGAAACAGACTTAACCACAGAGAACAAACTGAGAGTTACTAAAAGGGAGGGAGGTTGGGGGATGGATTAAGTAGGTGATTAGGGATTAATGTGTAAGTACCAAGTGCTGACTGAAAGTGTTGAATTGCTCACTATATTGTACACGTGAAATGAAGATTGCACTGTATGTTAATTAAATAGAATTTATTTTATTTTTTTATTTTATTTTGAGAGAGAGAGAAAGAGGGAAGCAGGGCTCATCCGAAGCAGGGCTCATCCGAAACAGGGGCTTGCGTTTTACCCGAAGCAGCGCTCATGCTCACCCTATGTGGGGCTCGAACTCACGAACCGTGAGATTATGACCTGAGCCGAAGTTAGATGCTTAATTACTAAGCCACCTAGGTGCCCAACTAAATATAATTTAAATAAAAACTTAAAAATAAATAAATGTACAGGGAAGGTCTTGCTGAAGTGATTTTGACTAGAGACTTGTAGGAAGTGAGAGAACGAGTCATACAGATATCTGGGAAAAGTGCATCCCTGGCAGAGAAGAGTAAGAACAAAGGCCCTGAGCTGGATGAGCTGGAGGAGGAGCAACAAAGCCAATATAACTGGTACAGAGAGAGAAGGGGAGAGCAGTAGAAGATGATGTCAAAATGGAGGGGAGCAGAATTATGGTGGGACTCATAGTCCACCAAAAAGACTCTGGCTTTTTCTCTGAGTGAGATGGGAGCTGGGAGAATGGTAATCTGATTCATGTAATCACTGGATTGAGAGTAGCTTGTTTGGACATGAGCAGAAGAAGGGAGACTAGGAGGCCATTGGAATAATGCAGGTAAGAGATAATAGCTTGGATCAACAAAGGAATGATGTAAATAGTATGAAGGAGAATAATTCAGGGAATATTTTAAGCACAGGGACAACAAGATTTGCTGATGAGTCAATGTGGAGTCACGGATGACACTCAGATTTTTGACAGGGCAACCAGAAATGGAGATACCATTAGCTGAGATGGGGGCAACTGGAAGACACTAGTTTGTGTGGGGAAGAAAGAACCCAGTTTTGAACATATTAAGATGCCTATGAGGCATCTGAGTGGGTATGATGAGTAGGCAACTGGATAAAGGAATTCAGAGGAGTAGGCAGGCTAAAGATAGAAACTTGGGAGTCATCAGCATATAGATGCTATTTAAAGACATGAGAATGGGTGAGATCAAGGGAATAATACAGATGGAGAAGAGGTCCATCATCAAGTTTGGGGAGATGT